TAATGAAGATAAAGCCGGAATCATCAAACTGGAAAACAGACAGATTACAGAAAATATGAATTAACAAAATGGAAAACTAATACTCTGAAATGATCAACAATTTTGTCAAACTCTTAGCTAGAAAAAGAAAAGTCCTTTCTATTAACTAGTGCTTGATCAACTAGACATAAACATGGAAAAACAATGAATACCTACTCGACAAAAATGAAATCAAAATGAATCACAGCCCTAAGGTAAAACCAAAATCTACAGAACTTTTAAAAAGAAAGCATAGACATAAACTGTCATGGCCTTAATTAAACAATAATTTTTTCAGAAAAAAACACTAATAGTATAACATGTAAAAGTCCAGTTTGATAAATTTAATAAACTAGACTACAGCAAAATTATAATTCTTTGCTTTTGAAAATTCGAACTTAAGAAATCAAAGAAAAATATTTATTCCACAGAATAGTACTTATATATCCACACAATCTTCAAAAATCTTCGCAGAGGTTTTTTGTCATAGTAGTCAATAACTAAAAACACATAAAATGTCCATCAATAGGTACTAGATAAACAAACTCTGTTATATCTGTATGATGTAATAACAGGAACAAGTAGCATAAATTATTGATGAACACATCCACATGCCAATGTCTGCCAGCTGTGAAAGCTCAGCAGAGACAATTCAGATAATGTGAGAAAATTGCAAACCACACATCTGATAAAGGGTTAATATGTGAAATATACAAAGAACTCAAACAAATCAATATCAAGAAAACAACCTGATTTTAAAATGGGCAAATGATCTTTAACTGATATTTCTCAAAAGAAGACATACAAATGGCTGGCAAGTACATAAAAAAGTGTCCAGCATCACTACTCATTAGGGGAATGCAAATTAAAACCACAGTGAGAAATCACTTCATGAGAATGGCCTTATTGAAAGAGATGAACAATAACAAGTATTGAAGAGGAAGTAGATAAAAAGGAACACTGTTGTTGGGAATGTAAATTAACATGGCCATCATAGAAAATGGTATAAAAGTTCCTCCCAAAAAGAAAATGAGAACCACCGTATAATTCAGGAACCCTTTGTCTGGGTTTATACCAAAAGGAAAAGAAATCTATACCTGGTAAAGGTGTCTGTAGTCCCATGTTCATGACAGTATTATTCACAACAGCCTAGATATGGAATCAACCTAAACGTCCATCAGTAATGAAAGGATAAAGGAAATGTGGTATAGATACAGAGTGGAATACTATTGAGCATATAAAAATGATAAATCTTGTCATTTGCACAACATGGATGAATCTAGAGGAGATCGTGTTTACTGAAATAAGCCAGACACAGAAAGACAACTACCTCATAATCTTCCTTAACTGTGGAAGCTTATAAAGTTTAACTCACAGAAACAGAGAGTAAAATTATGTCAGCAGAGGCTGGGGTGGGTGCACGGGGAGGAAGGAAATGGGGTGTTATTGATCAAAGGGTGGACAGGCAGATAGACAGGAGAAATAGGTTTTGAGGGTTATTGCACAGCTGGATCACTACAGTCAATAATAATGTGTTTTTCAAAGTAACTAAGAGTAAATTTTAAATGTCTCACCATAAAAATAATAGGTAGGTGAGGTAATGGATATGTTAATGAGCTTAACTGAATCATTTAACACTACATACATATAACAAAAATCACATTGTACCCCATAAATGTATGCAATTATTGTTTGTCAATCAAAACTAATGTTAATGATATATTTTTAACAGCATCACTCTTGTACACCTTAAATATACACAATTCTTATTTGTCAACTATACCTAAATAAAAGTAAGTATATTTCAAAGACAATAAAATAAATTAAAAATAATACTGCATAATTCCATGTATATCCATTGTTACATGTAAATGTAAACTAAATTATAGTGATCAAAAGTAGGTAAATAGATGCCTAGGGATAATTGTAAAAAGGAGGGACAGATTTTAAAGTGACTTGAGAAAATTCTTGAGGGTGGTATAAATGTTTATCTTGAAGATTATGATAGATTTGGTGGTGTATACACAGGTCAAAACTCATCATATTTTACATGATATATGGGCTTTTATTGTACTTAAATATATTTGAATAATGTCTTAAAACAGATGATACTTATTTTCCTAATTATCCCCACTCAAGTAGAATAAATTTAAGTGTTTCATTTTGGAAAAAAAGGAAAAATAATCAAGTGTTATCAGAGCCATTCAACTCATTTTCAACAATATTTGCAGAAAAATAATGTTTAGGGAAAACAAAAAGTAGTTACATTTAAATGATAGGTTAATAGTAAGAAAAATATTTTTTTTCAAAGTATATTAACCTAGTTACCCTCTAATTAACATGGTGGCAATAATAATCTCAGGGGATATTCAAAGAATTCTCAAAACATCCTTTTACAAATCAAGACCTTTCATCCCTGTTTAAAAAAGATAAACTAAACTACATAATTTTCTGGTGAGCTTAAGTCTACACATTTACCTCAGAATAATTAAGCAGAAACATAAACCAATATTTAAACCTATAAAGAAGGAATGCAATGTGATCCAAAGCAACTTGTACTTTGTTAGAAATCAGTCCTTGAAAAATAAAGTATCCAACGTACATTTTTGTGTTAGTTATTAATTCATGGTATGAATAGATTACAACAGCAAATAATTCAAATTCTAATATACAGTTGTCTGTTTATACCATTATTTTCTACCTAGCTAAAACCAATAACGAAAAATCTCATGTAATTATATATCAGCATTTTACATTATCTTGATATTTTCTTCATTCTCACTTTGAAATCTAAATACATGCTGCGGTTTAATTTAAACTCCAGTTGATGGTAGACTTCTAATAAAGGCGGAGCTATGTTTTATTCATCTTGGTGTCCATTATCACTGAGCACAAAACCTGAAGCTTAACGTGGACCTAGTATGGTTTTTAAAACCGTTTCCAATCAAGTTTTACAACATAAACATATATAAATTATAATCTTAGTTTAGGTTTTCATTTGTTTTATACAAATACCTATGCTGTCATGCATGGACAGTCATTCAGAAATCCCAGGGCATCTTTGGAGAATGTGGATACGCTTGAATAAAAGTATCTTTAAATGCTTGAGTATAAATAGCTCCCAAGAGTCTCTTCTTTAAACCCTTTTATTTTATAACTAAGGAAATTGAGGACCCAGGGACACATAACACACTATTAATTAGCATATTAGCTAGTCCTATTATTCTGATACTAGCATATCTTATATGAGCCACTCTGCCTTATTGTGCTTTGGAAATATCAACAGTGCTCATTTCTCATAAACTTCACTTTTCTGTGTACCTGCAACAGAGATTTAGTACTAATCCTATGATATATCAAATGTTTTAAAATATAAGTGAAATGCAAAGAAGAAAAGCCCTAAATACAGTTTCATTAAGATAATGTGTTGCCTAGGACTTTTGTAGGACAGTGGAAGAGACCAGGAGGTCTCATATAAATCATATCTTGGCATTCTTATTCTTTTATTCTTCTATGTTTTCTTTTATTCGTTTAGATTCACATTTCTAAAAATCATAAAGTAAATTTTGGGTTAAAAATACAAATTTTAATTAAAAATATAACAAATGTACTGTAAATGTGTAAAGTATTTATAATTTGCTAATGATGTTGTTGATCTGAAAAAGAAATATACTGTAATAATGGAAAAAAAGCAGAAAAAACTATCAGAGGAAAAAGCTAAATAAGTTATTGGCATCACTTCCTCCTTTGTGTGTTCTCAATATTATCAATGCTTTCCGTTTTTCTGTTTTTTAGAAAGTGTGATAGAGATAAAGTGGCTTTCTTAGAAGCTGCCTAATATCAGCAAATGAAGTCAGTAATTTGTCAGAATGAAGATGCCTTCTATTGTTGACTACCTTTCATAATCCTTTTTTCCTTTAGAAGTTTCTGATTGGTTTTTCCATGAATTTCTTGACAAGCACAGTCTATAAAAATGCAAAATAATATGGATAACTTATGTGTATTCTTGAGAAAATATTTTCTTTCTGAAGGCATTCTTGATAAGAGAATGCATCTTGTTTCACAGTTACCATTGCATTCTATCAATATTAATGTACTAGACATGCTCCAATAGAAATACTTTGTCAGTAAGAATATCTCATACATTCCACTAAGAACAGCTATGTCCTTTCAAGCATCAGAGACTTTCCAATATTGATGCTTCATAAATATTTATTGAGAACGATGTTAAGTTTCTTCCTTTTTAAATAGCATGTATACCAAATTATTTTTAAATTCCATGCAGTGACCAGTGGGGTTTTGTGAAAGCTTGACTTACATTAGCCCTCCCATTTCCCAAATCTCACATAGTTATGTACATTTTTTAATTTATTTTAAAAACTATCCTCATCATGGTCCTTTCTTCCAGACAGAAAATAAACACTATTTTGATAAGATATCATATGAGTACATTTCACTGCATTTAAAATACTATTTATAGTTTCTGAAAATGTAAAATAGCGTAACAATTTGAATAAGATATGTAAACACTACATATCTGAGACATAATCATAAATATTATAAAGAAATAAAAAAATCTAAAGTGATATTGACCAATTACTGATAATTAATATTTTTCAGTTTATATTGTGTTTTGGGTTCAAAGTTGCAAAAAAAGAAAGTCACCATTTTCAGAAAAAGCAGTATCACAATGATGAAATATACAGCACTGTGGAATGTCTCGTAATATCCACTAGATGTCTCCAATAACTGACTGAATGATTTTACCATATTTTCTCTAAAGCTATGCATTAAACACTGAAACATGAAGTACATATATATTTTGGTTTTCCTCTAAAAATCATATTTTAGGTATGTATTAAAGCTATGCATTAAATACTGAAACATGAACTACATATATATTTTGGTTTTCCTCTAAAAATCATATTTTTTCAAAGCACACAAAGTTCTTTTAATGAAAATACAAAAGGAAAGCAACTTACATTCAATATCAAGGTACATGCTCTTTTGGTGCCCTCCAATTCTACTTGCAGCTTCACAGTCATATCTCCCTGAATCTGACAACTTCACATCTTTAATATGCAGTGACGAGCTTCCATGCTGCCCTTTGACTTCGATACGGCCGTCTGGGCTCTGTTTACATCGATTCAGGAAAAAGAAAGATTTTATGCTTGTGTGTGCAAAATGGTGACCAAACACATAACATTATGTTACTTTCTATGTTTCTCTGGCAAACAGAAAAAAGAAACCATTCCTGATGTAGAAAGTATTTCTTGTACAGCTAAGAATAAGTTTTTTTTAAAAAAGCACACTTTTTACATTCTCATAGCTTCATGAAGGTTTCATGTACCCTGGCTGTATAATGATAAAAAGCATTTCAGTGACTCCAAATAAAACCCAATCACTCAGCCTGATGTTTAAAGACCTCTCATGTGGTATCACCTTTCTGTCCAAGTGCACTTTACAATTTAGATGTCATCAATTCCAATTATTTTGAATTACTTGTACTCTCCACAATATCCTGTGCTTTGAATAAATACTCTTCACAGATCTATTTTACACTTTTTCCCTTTTCTTCTCTCTGTATTTACATGGCAACATCCTACTTTCCTTTGAGTTACTGGCAAATTTTCATATTATATTAAAAATAGTTCCTGATTGCCTAAATAAATTATTATGACTTATTTGAACTATATACTTTTCTTGGAATAAATTGCTTTTACTAAAGTCTTGTTGGAACTTCAGATTTCATCCCATAGTGTGATAGTATAGTTGAACAAATGTGAGAAAATATTTATGGTACTTCATGTAAAAGTCATTTAAACTTCTAGGACAGAAACATTATATTCCAATATTTTTAGAAAGCAAATTATGTTATAGTAAAATTTACATGCAGTTGCGTAAAGAAAATGTACTCCTGCAGCTATTATTTACTATGGGTTAAATATTTGTACTTAATTAACTTTATTGGAATATAACAACGAAATACATTATTAACAATGCAAAGCAAATTATTCATTTTTATAAAGAAAATGTAATTATTTCACACTATTGAAAAGTAAATTTTAAAGTTACATGATCTTCGCTTGAAAATAAACATGTTCTCTTGTAATTACCTGTTATTCATGATAAGGTTTTGACTTGTGAAAAACTACTAATCTAGATGTTATCAGTACAAATGTTGGCATTTAAAAGTTATTATCAATATACCTGAAATTATTAACTTAAATTCTGGAAAAACAGGCACTTTGTCCAAGTGTGTGAGTCCTAGGAAAATTAGAAGCCATTCTCAGAATCACCATTGGCTCTGTAATGATGCGCAATATGCATTTGAGTCAAATACTTGCACTAAAAGTCCAGGGTCATTTTTTTTTTTTTTTTCCGTTTCTGACATTCTAAAGGACATGTCTCTCTTTGTGCTACAGAAACACATTAGAAATATCGAAAGAAAATTCATTTATATCTTGGCTCTGATTCAACACCTACTGAAGATTCATTTAAGGCATCTGATCCTTGATTGAGACAGGTTAATGGGCATTTTAGCTGTCTGTCTAGTATTTCCAGGTTCTATCACTGAATTAAGCAAGATGATTAGAAAGCAAAGTGTCTGACTGTACATTATTATTCCATCCTTTACAAAAACGCACTCTCTGAAATTTGATTTGATGTTATGTTCTTTGCCTTTCTAGAAGGTCAATTTAAGAACCGCTTACTTAAACGGTTTTTCAATATTTTAAAAATATGATTATTTTTAGAGTTTATTGTCCTTTCAAAAATCCCTTAATCAAATATCTATGTGATAACCACTTCCTGAGCTTATTTCCAACATAAAGTTTTTTTTGACTATTTTAATTGTCAAACAATTGAAATTATATAGTGTGTCATGTTTATAGGTTATTTTTTGTGACCTCACCTGACTAGACATTTATTGCCAAATTTAGAATCTGATTATAGCTCACAGCATATTTGAGGTGGCCAGTATTACAGAACTTTCTTTTCTTTCCACTGTGTCATGGAACATTTTTAGAACCATTAACTCCTTTGGCCTTTTGGGAGATTGATGGATCATGTCACTTAACCATTCAACAATAATTTTGTGTCAGTGTGTGTGTGTGTGTTTGTGTGCGTGCACACATGCATTTTACAATAAGCAGCCAGGCACTGGAATGCAGTGCTGAGTGAACTGTAATAGTTTATATCCTTGGTGGCATTAAAGTTAAACAAATAAGATAGATACTAATTTTACAGTACAATACAAATAAATGTGAAAAGTACCATGTAGGCAAAATGTATCTTTCTAGGAGTAAGTGGAGGAATGGGGTAGGTATGTTTCCTGATAAACCAAAGTGTGGATTGTGATCTGTAAATAGTGAAAGAAGGGTGGTGTTGAGGAAAGGAATTCCAGGCAGACGCCCTAAGAGGACTTAAGAAAGAAGTGAGAGAAGCAAGAATATGATCAGAAGAGAGTGGGGTCATGAGGTTCTCCTGATGATGGACAGACAAATAGGGACCACAGGCAGAACCCAAGATCAATGCAGATCCACAAAAGAATATGCACCCGAGGTGGACCCCTGCTTTAGATATTCTGTTTGCCTCATTTCTAATGACATTATTTCTCTGATGAGTAAGTAAACTGAACTTAGAATACTTTGAGATAAAGACAATGCATAACTGCTAAATATGTAGACAGAAAAACCAACACTCTCCAAAAGTTATTAGAATTAATTCATCCAAACTACCTTCTCAAAATTGTTTTAATATTGTATCACATCCACCGGTTTCTACAGTCATACTAAGAATTTTAAACAGAAATACTGTTTTCCCTCCCTGTAAGATTCTTCTATCTACTACTAGCAATAATGATATTTCCTCTGGGTTTGCTCCTAGCTTTCTAATCTTCTTATTTCAATTTCATGAGCTGACCTCTTGTATAATTACCCTTTCTCCTGGCAGTGTAAATGATGTCAGAAAGATAAATATATGCAATCAAAGTTCTTCACTTTGGTAGTTTCCTCATTAGGTCCTGGTGTCTTCCTCTTTTGTTTGATAATAAAATCAAAAATTTATTCAACAAATAGGAATTGAATGTAATAATGATAAAAGGCAATACATACCTATAACAAATTATACTTGTCAGACAACATCCAAAAAGCTTTACATGTACTAGTCTATTTAATCTCCATGATATCACGATGAGGTTGAGGCTAGTATGTCCATTTTAAGATTAGGAAATCGAGACACAGAAATATTCAGTAACTAGCCCACGTCCCACAGCGTATAAGCTTTAGCAGCTGAATGCCCAGGTTGTCTGGCCCTGGAGTTCATGTTTAATTATTTTTGATATATGATTTACCACCTGAGTAACAACTGTGAGGTTGAACTATGTATGTACCGCAGCTATGTAACAGACATTTAGCTGGGTTCTGGGGCTAGAAATATGCTTGCATTCAAATTGAAAAGTGGACATTTTTTGCCTACTAAATGTGTTTATTTCATTAGTGATTTTTGTAATTTTTATTTTTAAAATATGTGATTCAATTTAAAATGAGGATTTCAAACACCAAAACATGCCAATAAGATATTTTAAACATGTGATGGCATGTACAATATTTGGTTTCAAAAATTAGACACAAAACATTTATTTTCGATGCTTTAATGGGAATCAATAAAGTAGCATGTTTACTTGTACATATCTAAAAAAGAAAAATGGATAAGAAAAGCAAAGCCCTTGGTCTCTCAGCTCATAAGGATCAGAGGAAAAAATTACAAATTATAATGCACGCTGATATAGATGACATTCAGAAAGGAAACCTAATTTGGTAGACAAACGTGAGGAAGAGTTTCTTGTAGGTATTTATGTCAAATGGAAGGACAAGTCATAATGATAAGTCAGGAACTGTACTGGCTATGGAATTTTAAAGGTCAACTGCAAAATTAAACATGGGGGTTTCTATTCAAAATCTATTAAAATGTCAAGATGATGACCGCAGCATATTAGCCTAAACTTGGGGTCCTTCAGAGTGTGGAACCTGTGCAGTTGCACAGGTTGTACCCCTCCAAAGTCAGTCCTCACCAAGAAAAAAGTAAGAAAAGTAGGATTAAAATGGGAACTATGTGGGCTTGAACTTGAAGGGAAAAAATGCTGTATTGAAAGAGTTTAAAGGAGCTCACTGGAGCTATCAAATTAAATAAGAAGTGGAAGGGGTAAGATATGAAAGAGTTAGAGAAACAAACAAGACTACAATAAGAAGTACCAAAGCCAAAGAAAGACCAATAAGATCAAGAGAAGATGCTGAAAATCATTCGCCATCAAGGACATTTAAATCAAAACCGTGATACTACTTTGCATTCACTGGAGTGGCTATGATGAAAAAGGCAGATGTTAACACATGTTGGCCAGGATGTGAAGAAACTGGCACTCTCATGCGCTGTGAGTGGGAATGTAAAACGGTGCAGATGTTTTGGATAAAATATTTGACGGTTCCTCCAAATGTTAAACACAGAGTTGCAGTTACATTCCACAGAGAAATGACGATGTATGTCCACACAACAACTTGTACATAAATGCTAATAACAGCATTAGTAATAATGCCAAAAAGCATAAACAACTGAAATGCCTATTCACTGGTTCATGGATTCAAACAAACGAGTGGTATATATATACAAAGGAATATTATTTGGCAAAAACAAAAAACAAAACAAAACAAAAAAACAAAAATGAAATGAAGTACTCACACATGCTTCAACATTGATGAACCATGAAAATGTTACAGTAAGAGGAAAAAGCTGATAACAAAGGACAAATATTGAATAATCCAATTTCTTTGAAATTTCCAGAATAGGCTGCTTAGGGCAGGCAAGGGAATAGGAGGTGGTGGCGAGGAGATTGGGGGGTGATGACCAAAAGAAGTGATTAGATGATCCAAAATTGATTGTGTTTATGGTTGTACAATTCTAGGAATAAAGGCTTCTAATTGTACAGTTTAATGGGTGAATTGTGTGCTATGTGACTTATATGTAAATAACACTGTGAAAAGGTAAATACCTATTGAAGGTTATTGGGTGTTTTATGAACAATTGGAAAAGGACAGGATAGGTTTTAGGCAGAGGAGTAAGGTAGATGCACTTGTGAT